TTCCTTTCTTTCTTTCTTTTACTTTCTCTCTTTTCTTTCTCTCTCTCTCTCTGTCTTTCTTTCTCTCTCACTCAGTCACCCAGGTTGGAGTGCAATGGCAGCTCGCTGCAACCTCGGCCTCCCAGGTTCAAGCGATTAGCTTGCCTCAGCCTCCAGAGTACCTGGGACTACAGGCATGCACCACCACGGCTGGCTAATATTTTTATTTTTATTTTTATTTTTATTTTTATTTTTAGTAGAGATGGGGTTTCACCATGTTGGCCAGGCTGGTCTCGAACTCCTGGCCTCAAGTGATCCACCCACCTTGGCTTCCCAAAGTGCTGGGATTACAGGGGTGAGCCACCACACCCAGCCCAATTGTTGGTTTTCTGTATGTACTGAATAATGCTAAGAAGCAGAGATGGTTCCAGGGTCAGAAAATGGGGCTAAGGGAGGGAGAAGATAGAGTAAGAGCTTTGTGAAGGTTTGAGGCAAGGGGCCATAGATTTGGGGCTAGGACAGACATCTAAGGCTAGGTAGGAAGCTGGGTGCTTGCTTTCTAGAGATCACATAGACTCTTGGCCAACTGAGACAAAGCCAACATCAGAGGATCACATCAGGATTATAAGACTTTCAGGATATCCAGTCCCTGCTCTCATTTCTGGACAGAGGTTGTCCCTGGATATTATTAGCAGGTGAAAGCAGGTTCACAGCCCTGGCTGCCTTTTTCCCTGTCTCACAATTTTCTCTCAGTTCTCCCTTTCACTTATCTTAATGCCCTTTCAGTTTGTATCATTGACAAGGTCATTATAGACCACTGCAGATGCTGTCCTGCGGTGTGAAGCATGTCTCATGCAAGTCCAGGTTGGCTGGCTTCCTTTCTTCCTCTCTCTGTTTCTCTCTTTCTGGCTTCTCTTCTCTCTCCTTCAAAATATAGATTTGGTTCAAACTAACCTAAGAAAGTAGGAGTCCTAGGCAGTTCCTCTCCCAGGGTCTTGGGATGGCAAAGCAATGGACAGATGCTTCCAGCTATTAGGAGGAACTGGAAGCATCTAGGTCAGAATTGGAGAGGGTACAGCCAAGGAGTATGTGAGGTTCAAGCTCTATGTCTAACTAAGATGCCTACTGCTAAGGACTCAGAGTCAGAGAGGAAGCTGGGAGAGAGGAGTTGGAAAGGCCCCTGGGGTGGGGAGTTCCCATTTCTATCCAGGAGAGGCAGAAAGTAAGTCTGACAGAACAGCCAAGACTTAGGCAAAAGCAAGAGACTAAAACGGAGATATAGGCCAATAAGGTTTAAGCAAAATTGCCCCACCCCTAAGGCAAGCCCTTGCCTAATCCTAGGAGTATGACAGATCTGAATCCAGCTGTTGGGAGGTTAGCCAGTGAGAAGCCTGAGGGAAAAGACTGACTTTTAAATTTCAGCCAAGGACAGTAAAAGTTAGTGATTTTTTAGAGATTCTTACCATGATTTTTGGAAAACTGAGAATACTGCCTGTCATACTCAGGGAAAGCTATAGTTGGGAGGGCAGAGACTTTCAAAGCTATTGTTGAATCTTGGCTTTAAGGCACAGGTGGGGAACAGGTCCTGGTAATCTTCCAGTCTCTATAACTGTGCCTTTCCTGCCCATGCCATCCCCATGCTGTGTTCTCTGAGGACCAAGATTTGGGAAGAGGAGGGGAAAGCCCTGCTGTGCTATCAGACCCTGCATTACATGCGCATCCTCACTGCAACCCTGGCCACTCTCTCCTTTCTTCCTTTTTTCTTTCTTTCTTTCTTTCGACAGGGTATTGCTGTGTTACCCAGGCTGGTCTTGAACTCCTGAACTCTCGGCCTCAAGTGATCCTCCTGCCTGGCCACTCTCTATGGTCTCAGTATCTCAGGGATGATGGGGAGCAAGGTGATGTGTAGAAACCAAAGGCCACAAGTAGCAGTCATCATTCCCACTTACAACCCGGTCCCAGAGGACACAGATCCTATTTTTGCCCCACCCCAGCTGTGTTGGGAGGAAAATTCTGTCTGTATTTCCTCCTTCAGCTGAAACCAGTAAACTTTTATCTGGGCCTCTTCAGTTATCACTTGGTCCTTGGGGACAGAGTTAGTATCTCGAACCTGGCTTAAATAAAAGATATCAGGGAAGGAAGGGTAGGGGTCTGTTTTTCTCATTTTCTCACTTTTCCCCCACTTCACCCTTATAAGGCTGCGTGGGTTCTCTCTCTCTCTCGCTCTCACTCTCGCTGTGTGTGTGTGTGTGTGTGTGTGTGTGTGTGTGTCCCCTGAGAGACTGGGTTCTGCTACCCTCTAGTGGCCAGAGCTGAAAGGACTCTCCCACCCAATCAATCGGGACCTTCTATGGGAATAAACCAACAGCCTATTTGATGAATGACAAACTGAGAAGGCCTAAAGAGAAACTATGCCTTTGAGGGTCGGGGCATAATCGGGAACCCGATGATAATCTAGAACCCAGGTCTCCTGTCTCTCGGGCCAGTGCTCAGTCCACTTTCACCTCCCCCACCCTCTGACTTTTGCTTTTCCTTCCTTGCTCATCCCTGGGGTGGTTAGCCAGAGTAAGAAACCCTGAAGCCAAATGATCCCTTCCGGCCCTAGTGGAGCAGCACCTGCACCTCAAATGTCATAATCGCACGTCAGTTCACAGCTGAGATCACAAGGGTTTATTCTGAGGAGCCGACTGTCCTCCGACTTTCTGAAGTTAACAATCTTGCAAGATTTTTATTGACCTGATACAGCTACGGTTCTCGATAGCAACCCAGGTGTCCTGTCTCCACGGTGACTGCTGCTTTGCGACCTTCGGTTTGCAGCGGTCGCGCTGCAGCCGCTGCAGTGGTTGCTGGGCGACGGCGGAGAGAAAGCCAGGGCTTGAGGTGGGAACCCCGGCTGGCGTCTGGTAGGGGGAGGTTCCCGGGGAAGCCCGCGGAAGGCGAGGTGCCTGGCCTGCCACGTAGGGGCTCGTTCCAAGCCGCAGACCCCACCGCCCTTCCTCTCCCCGGGGCCCATGGCGGTGGCCGTGCCCCCGGGTCGGGCCGCAGGCTCAGGCTGGGCCTGGAGGCCAGTGGCGCGGGACGCGCTTTTGGCTAGGGCCTTCCATTCATGCACCGAACTGCGGGGACGGTTCTATCTCGTAGGTGGTCTCCTAGCAGGAGGAACGAGAGAGCCCAGCAGCGATACGGTGGTCTTCGACCCGGCGAGGGGCCAGGCCGTACGATTGGGATCCCGGGGCAGCCCCCCGCGCAGTCACCACGACGCGGCACCCGTGGGCGGGCGTTGGCTCTGCGTGGTGGGCGGCTGGGACGGGTCTCGCCGCCTGGCCACAGTGACCGCGCTGGACACAGAGCGCGGTGTGTGGGAGGCGTGGACAGCGACCCCTGGTGACTGCCCCCCCACCGGCCTCAGTAGTCACACCTGCACCCGCATCTCTGACCGCGAGCTGCAGGTGGCTGGCCGGGAGGGCGGTATCCACACTCAGCGACGCTATGGAAGCATCTATACATTAAGGCTGGACCCCAGCGCCCGCACCTATTGGTATGGCACCCCCTGCCCAAAACCTTTCACTCTCATCTACACTCTGGAAAAACAAAAGCCTAAACATTTCTCAGGCAATTAATCCACGTCCTCACCCTCGCACCCTCCGAACCTACCATGTTTAAACTAGCTGAGCTCTCTACAGTATTACCCTTCCTCTCATTCCACCTACCGCACTGCCCTATGCCTCTTCTCCATCCGTCCTTGGCAAGGGCAGTGGCACTTACATTTTCCAGAAAACCCACTCAGGCCTGAATTTCTGCATGTCCACAGCTACAAGCAAGAAGGCTGCCACATAGCCTCACGCTCAGGTCACTGTGCGGCCCTGCTCCAAACTCCTGGACCCCATCCAGGTCATCAGCTATTGCTCTTCGGAGGTTGCAACTTAGCTGAACCAGAAGTAGCTAGGCATTGGAGTCATGGGAAAATAAAGGTATTAGCTCCCCACACATCTTGTTTAGGATGGGAAGAGGCTGAAATTGTGATGCCCAGGTCTCTTCAGACAGTGCTTTCTTTCTCCCCAAGGAGGAACCACCTGTTGCTCCTCATTTGATGAAACAGCTTGCAAGGCTTGTGAGCAGTGGGCAGGGGTCCCAGAAGGGGCCCCATGGACTACGGCATCACTCATGTTCTGTGGTTGGGCCGTTTGCTGTGCTGTTTGGTGGAGAAACTCTGACCAGAGCTAGAGACACCATCTGCAATGATCTCTACATCTATGATACCCGTGAGAGCCAGACTAATGGCTGAAGGGGGGAAAGGTGGGAAGATGGGGGAATCTGAAGACTACAGAAAGAGGATGGAGTGATGGGGTAGGGAGGATGAAAAATTAGTTGACAGGAGTTAAAGGAGTACACAGAATATTAAGCATTTGAAGAGGCCTACAAATGAAGTGAGCAGAAAAAGTGGGCAAGCCCTTGGTCGTGTTGTGTTCTGTGAATGACAAAGTGCTACTGCCTCAATAACCACCCTCTGCCCCATCCAACAGGCACATCTCCTCCTCTGTGGTTCCACTTCCCCTGTGCAGATCGCGGGATGAAACGCGTGGGCCATCGCACCTGCCTTTGGAATGATCAGCTTTACCTGGTTGGGGGTTTTGGTGAGGATGGCAGGACAGCCAGTCCACAGGTTTGCATTCTGGACTTCCTTATCTAAATAGTGCCGAGACACACCACTAAGCTTCGTTTTGTTTTGCTTTGTTGCAAATCTATAAAGCATTATCACCAGAGCTATCTGCTTCACTTCAAATGCTTATTAAATTTCAATCTGAGACTCAAGATTTGTCTCTGAAATTTTTGGGGGGAGGGGGAAAGGCAGTAAATAAGTGGACATACCTTTATTTGCAAGGAAAGGATAAAATAAATATGGGTCCTATTCTCATATTATGAGTCATTAACCTGATGGAAACAAAAACCACAAATCATATGCTGTTCCATGTCTCAAAACAATTTCCACCCCTAAGTGGGAGAAAACTTCAGGCTACAGCTAAGCATTCTGACCAAAACATTTAATTAACAAAAAATATTACAATAGCAGAGAAAATAATAATAATAACAATAAAGAGAAATCAGAAGTGGGAGTCAGGGTAGAAAAAAATGCAAAGGCCTTGGTCCCTAGGAGACCAACACTCCAGCTGAGCTGGCCTTAGCCCCAGCCCCTTCTGAGTTTTCCTTGGCTGCTGGCTTCTCATCTTCTCCCATGAGACGAATGTTGTGCTTTTCCCGGAATTCATTTAGTTCTTTTCCTTTTGCCTGAAGCTGCTGTGTCAATGTCTCAATGATCTTCTGTATCTAGAGGACAAGTGACAGGGATTATATAAGGAATTCAGGACTCCTTTCCCCCACCTGGAATGGACTATGGCTGGAGGAAGTGTTAACACGTTTAACCTTACCTTTAACCAAGTAGAGGAATCCAGATATTAAAATTATTCCTTTCTTGAAAGCAGTGGTTTATACACTTTAACGTACTTAGAATCACCTGGGCTGTTTAATTTTATTTTTTACGGAGACAAGTTCCCACTATGTTGCCCAGGCTGGTCTCAAACTCCTGCCTCAAGCAATCCTCCTGCCTCAGTCTCCTAAAGCACTGGGAATACAGGCATGAGCTTATTTTTATTTTTTCATTATTTATTTATTTATTTTTTTTGAGATGCAGTCTCGCTCTGTCGCCCAGGCTGGAGTGCAGTGGTGCAATCTCGGCTCACTGCAAGCTCCGCCTCCCGGGTTCACGCCATTCCCCTGCCTCAGCCTCCCAAGTAGCTGAGACCACAGATGCCCACCACCATGCCCAATTTTTTGTATTTAGTGGAGACGGGGTTTCACCATGCTAGCCAGGATGGTCTCGACCACCTGACCTCGTGATCTGCCCGCCTCGGCCTCCCAAAGTGCTGGGATTACAGGTGTGAGCCACCGCGCCCAGCCTAGCTTATTTTTAAAATGTCACTTCATGGCACTCCCAAAGGTTCTGATCCAGTGGGTTCAGGAAACGGCATTTATAAATTAGTCCTTCAGGTGATTCTGATTCACATACCCGTGAAACACACTCTATGAGAAACACTAATCTAACCCCAATCCTCCCACCCCAATTCAGCCAGGTCACAGAGCCCACAGCAGTCAGCAATTCCTCTTGTCTAAGAGTTGGCCTTAGCATAGCATAATGAGCATAGGCTATTTTATGCTGTTGTCCTTTTTTTTTTTTTTTTTGAGATAGGGTCTTACTCTGTCACCCAGGCTGGAGTGCAGTGAGGTGATCACAGCTCACTAAAGCCTCAACATTTTAGGCTCAGGTGAGTAGCTGGGACTACAGGCACATGCCACCATACTCAGCTAATTTTTTGTATTTTTTGTAGTGATATGGTTTCACCATGTTACCCAGGCTGGTCTCAAACTCCTGGACTCAAGGAGTCCACCCACAAGTGCTGGGTTTACAGCCACTGTACCCGATCCTATTCAATGATTCTTGCTTACCTGCTCCTTGTTGTTCTCCAAAGCAGGCAGCACCTCTTTGACAGTTCGTTCCACCAGCACTCCTCCAACCATGCGGTAGCACTTACGAGTTTCATCTACCTCCTTCAGTGTATCGATCACTAGGCTGGGATAGAAGAACAAGGCAGGACCTGAGGATTCAGCCCCACTCTACTACAAATCCCCCTCACGGAGTAGCCCATAGAATTGTCCTACTGTTTGCTGCTCCCTGACTTTCTCACCTGTGCTCATTCAACTCCATCTCCAACTCAGCTGCTTTGGATGCCAGGCCTCGCTGTTCCTGCCGAAGGCGGTTGAAGCCAGCAATTACCTAACAAGGTGAGAGAAGAGATGAAAGAGGGGATAGTGGAAATGGCAGAGGGTCCAGATAGCACATAGGGTGGCAGGCTTTACAAAGCTGTAGTGGGCACCTACCTTGGAAAAGGAGTAGAACCACAAGTTTGCGATTTCAACCTAAATTTTTCTGGAATTCCATTCACCAAACACGGAGGGCCTACTATTTTTCAGATATTTGAGGGCCTACTGAGGGATATCATAGAATAGATTTGGCCTCTGGCTTCTCATAGCTTATAGTTTGTTGGGAAATAGGCATTTAATATAATGGGGGCCAGGTGCGGTGGCTCACGCCTGTAATCCCAGCACTTTGGGAGGCCAAGGCAGGTGGATCACGAGGTCAAGAGATCGAGACAATCCTGGCCAATATGGCGAAACTCCATCTCTACTAAAAATAGAAAAATTAGTTGGATGTGGTGGTGTGCACCTGTAGTCCCAGTTACTTGGGAGGGTGAGGCAGGAAAATCGTTTGAACCCAGGAGGAGAGGTTGCAGTGAGCCAAAAGAATGGGGGTGGAGAGCTACTGGAGTACCTACAGGGGAGCCTAGACTTGCAGTGAGGGCTGTCAGGAAGGGCTTTGTAATGAGAAACTCTTGTTTGGGTCTGCTCAGTATTCCATCCATTGGGGAACTGCCCCTCCTTAACTTGGTGTGGTTCTTTTGGGGTTATTAACCACACGACCCCTGATCCAGGGGCAGTGACCTACAGTCTCTCTCTACAGGAATTGGAATTTTGCAGACAAATGGGTACAGAAGACAGCTGGAGTTAAGATTCCTATTGGTTCTATAGAGATGACCTTCCATTCCTATTCCTAGATTCCCTAAAGCTGCCCCAGTTCTTGAACTTTGTTCAGTCTATTTAGCCTTTTTTTTTTCTGTTCAATTCTGTGAAATACCCACTATTATTCAAAAATAGCCCTTTAAAAAAAAAAAGAAAGAAAAAAAAAAGACCCAGGCGTGGTGGCTCATGCCTGTAATCCCAGCACTTTGGAAGGCCGAGGTGGGCGGATCACGAGGTCAGGAGATCAAGATCATCCTGGCCAACATGGTGAAACCCCATCTCTAGTAAAATACAAAAAATTAGCCGGGCATGGTGGCGCGCCTGTAGTCCCAGCTACTCAGGAGGCTGAGGCAGGGGAATTGCTTGAACCCAGGAGGCGGAGGTTGTGGTGAGCCGAGATTGCGCTACCGCACTCCAGCCTGGCGACAGAACAAGACTCCATCTCAAAAAAAAAAAAAAAAAGAAAAAAGAAAGTTGGTCAGAGTTGGTTTCTGTAGCCTATAAACCCTAACTGATACACGCTTCCTAAGGGATAATGTAATGGTCTTAAATGAAACCTGAAAAATCAGAGTGTGGGGAAAACAAATGAAAAATATGAGGCTCAGAGACAAAAGACCAGGTTTCAGGTTCTGCCTCTGCTACTTTATTGGCTCTATGGCTGGGACAGACATTTAACCCTGTATTTCTTAACCATGGCTATATGTTAGAATCACCTGAATCATTTTAAAAACATGAATAGTGGAGCCTCAGAACAACTACACAACTACTGGGGGTAAAGCCCAGGCCTCAATATTTTTAAAAAGATCTCCCACTTAATTCTATTGTGTAGTGTGAACTGAGAACCACTGGATCAACCCCTTTGAGACTGTTTTCTTACCTGCAAAATGCAGATAATGATTCCTACTTCATAAGGTTGTTGTATCATGTGAGCCAATGAGTGTGAAACATCTTTGTGAACAGTGAAGTATATTAATACTGTCATGGACTTCTCTCCAAGTCCAGAACTGCCCCTTTAGACTCTCCTGGCCATCTGACAACAGTGGACTCAATCCATTCCAACCATTACCAAATCTCTCACTCCTATTTGTAAATATCATCTCCAGTCACACAGCCAGAAACTTTGCCCTAATGAAGATGATTAACCACTTCATCTTTACTAGGGTCCCATCTCTTTCTTTCTTTTTTTTTTTTTTTTAAGAAAGGTCGCACTGTGTCACCCAGGCTGGAGTGCAGTGGCGCAATCACAGCCCACTGCAGCCTCAATCTCCCTGGGCTCTGGTGATCTTTCTGCCTCAGCCTCCCACGCAGCTGGGACTACAGGTGCACACCATCTAATATTTTTGTAGAGACAGGGTCTTCTTATGTTGCTTAGGCTGGTCTCAAACTCCTGGGTTCAAGCGCTCTGCCTGCCTCAGCCTCCCAAAGTGCTGGGATTACAGGCATGAGCCAACATGCCTGGCCTGGCCCCTTAGCTCTAGCTCACCCTCTGCAAGGATCATATACAGCAAATATTATCCAAATGGCTGACCTGCACCACCCTTATATCCCTTCTACTGCCAATAAACCAAGGAATAATACTTCACCAAAAACTTGCCATTCCAGCAACTTCCTCCTTTCTCCCATCTATCACCCCTTCATCTCAATCTACTTTATCCATTCATTTCAACAAATGCCTTGGAAATCTAACTGATCTACAGGCTGTTTTTCCTTAACCTTCATTGCTTATCTCAAAACCATCCCATTTATATTAGCTTTTTCTCTAGAAAAAACTAATTCCAGATCAAAATAATTCCATCTAAAAAAAAAATTATGACTAAAGCAGATTCTAGATGTTCCCTTAGCACCCAAATGATCCACTTTTCTGGATGTATGTTGTTAAATACATCAAAGAAATCAGCTTAAGTGTCTAAAATTTCTGATGCCCCAACCTTTAACTCCTGGGCTCAAGTGATCCTTCTGCCTCAGCCTCCCAAGTAGCTGGGACTACAGACATGTATCACCACAGCAGTTATTTTTTTATTTATTTTTTTTGTAGAGATGGTCTCGCCATGTTGCTCAGGCTGATCTTGAACTCCTGGCCTCAAGCAATCCTCCCACCTCAGCCTCCCAAAGAGCTGGGATTACAGGCAGCAGGCTGGTCTCAAACTCCTGACCTCAGGTGATTCACCCACCTCAACCTCCCAAAGTGCTGGGATTACAGGCATAAGCCACTGCACCCAGCTGAGATTTTTTTTTTTTTTTAAATTCCGACTTTTCTTCAACATTCTTGCTAATAACTAATTTCCTCTTGTTCCATTTTATGAACTTTTAATCAAATACCAAACTAAAATCTACTTAAACATGTGAATTATCCACAGTTATTATGGAAAATTTCAGCCATAAGTGCACGTAAAGGAAATGAAATCTCTTAGCAGCTGATATAGTTTATGTGTCCCCTCTAAGTTTCATATTGAAATATAATCCCCAATGTTGGAGGTGGGGCCTGGTGGGAGGTGTTTGGATCATGGGGGTAGATCTCTCATGAATGACCTGGTTGCCATCCCCTTGATGATAAGTCAGTTATTGATCTGAGTTCACATAAGATCTGGTTCTTTAAAAGTATGACACCTACTCCTCTTTATTCCTCCTGCTCCCACCATGCATGAGACACCTGTCCCCTCCCTTTGCTTTTCATTGTGATTGGAAGCTTCCTGAGGCCACCCCAGAAGCAGATGCCACATTTCCTGTACAGCCTACAGAACCATGAGCCAATTAAACCACTTTTCTTATAAAGTATCCAGTCTCAGGTAATTATAGCAACACAAGAACAGCCTAATACAGCAGCTAACTGCAACTTAACTGTAGACTATATGCAAAATAAGCCAATATTAAGCCATTTCTGGGGTCTGCCAGGTAATGGAAACAGAGAAGTTATCCTCTATTCCCACATTTTTCCTTTTAAAACACAACTTTTCTAATGGTCTTGTCCCCTATGGCTAGGACCTAATTATCCTTCCCTTTCCTTATTCCTTATTCTCTTGAAGTTGTCTGGTGTAAGCACAGATTGACACGTCAGTGTTGCGTCTCCCAACCCTATTAAATCATCATCTATGTACAAACAATTTTTTTCTTTTCTTCTTGAGACAGGGTCTTACTCTGTTGCCCAGATGGAGTGCAGTGGTGCAATCATGACTCATTGCAGCCTTGAACTCCTGGGTTCAAGTGATCCTCCTGCCTCCACTTATACTAGTAGTTGGCATGACAGGCACCCATCACCACTCCTGGCTAGTTTTTTTTAACTTTTTGTAGTGATGGGGTCTCACTCTGTTCCCTAGGCTGGAGTGCAGTGGCACAATCATGGCTCAATGCAGCCTTGAATTCTTAAGCTGAAGCGATCCTCCCACCTCAGCCTCTTGAATGATGGGACCATTGGCATGTGCCACTATGCCCAGCTAATTTTTGTATTTTTCTGTAGAGACAGGGTTTTGCCATATTGCCTAGGTTGGTCTTGAACTCCTGGGCTCAAGCGATCCTCCCATCCTAACCTCCCAAAGTGCTGGGATTACAGGTATGAGCCACCAAGCCCATACCCTATTGATATATTTTTAAAAACTGCTTAACTAAGGCCAGGCGTGATGGCTCATGCCTGTAATCCCAGCACTTTGGGAGGGTGAGGTAGGTGGATCACGAGGTCAGGAGATCCAGACCATCCTGGCTAATACGGTGAAATCCGGTCTTTACTACTAATACAAAAAACTAGCCGGGTGTAGTGGTACGTGCCTGTAGTCCCAGCTACTTGGGAGGCTGAGGCAGGAGAATTGCTTGAACCTGGGAGGCAGAGGTTGCAGTGAGCCGAGATCGTGCTACTGCACTCCATCCTGGGTGACAGAGCGAGACTCTGTCTCAAAAAAAAAAAAAAAAAAAAAAAAAAAGTTTAATCCTCTGCTGTTGGAACATTTAGGTTGTTCCCAATTTTTCTGTAATAAACAGTACTAATATAAAATCTCTTTGGAAAGGCCTGGCATAGTGGCTCATGCCTGTAATCCCAGCAGTTTGGGAGGCCAAGGTGGGCAGATCACTTGAGGTCAGGAGTTCATGACCAGCCTGGCCAACGTGGTGAAACCCCATCTCTACCAAAAATAGCCAGGCGTGGTAGTGCACACCTGTAGTCCCAGCAACTCGGGAGGGTGAGGCAGCATAATCGCTTGAACCCGGGAGGTGGCGGTAGCAGTGAGCCTAAGATCGCACCACTGCACTCCAATCTGGGTTACAGACTGAGATTCTGCCTCAAAAGAAAAAAAAAACAAAAACAAAGGCCAGGCATGGTGGCTCATGCCTGTAATCCCCGCACTTTGGGAGGCCGAAGCAGGCGGATCACCTGAGGTCAAGAGTTCGAGACCAGCCTGGTCAACATGGTGAAACCCCATCTCTACTAAAAATACAAAAAAATTAGCTGGGCATGGTGGCGTGCACCTGTAGTCCCAGCTACTTGGGAGGCTGAGGTGGGAGAATCACTTGAACCCAGGAGGCAGAAGTTGCAGTGAGCTGACATCACACCATTACACTCCAGCCTGGACAACAGAGCCAGTCTGTCTCAAAAAAAATAAAATAAAAATTTAAAATTTAAAAAAAAAAAAACAAGGCTGGGTGTAATGGCTCACCCCTATAATCCCACCACTTTGGGAGGCCAAAGCCAGTGGATCATTTGAGGTCAGAAGTTCAAGACCAGCCTGGACAACATGGTGAAACTCTGTCTCTACTAAAAATAATACCAAAAAAATTAGCTGGGTGTGGTGGCACATGCCTGTAATCCCAGCTACTCAGAAGGCTGAGGCAGGAAAATCACTTGAACCCGGGAGGCGGAGGTTGCAGTGAGCTGAGATCGTGCCATTGCACTCCAGCCTGGGCGCAAGACCAAAACTCCGTCTCAAAAAAAAAAGAAAAAAAAAGGAGAATCACTTGAACCCAGGACATAGAGGTTTCAGTGAGCTGAGATCATGCCACTGCACTCCAGCCTGGGCAACAGAGTGAGACTCCATCTCAAAAAAAAAAAAAAAAACCCAAACAAACAAAACAAAACCACTTTGGACAAATAGTGCACGATTTATAGCCACTTTTCTTGAATTTCTTGAATGGTATTCAAAAGTAAGGTCAATAAGTAAAAGGGGCATTAGTATTATTATAGCTTCCATTGCATGTCGCTTGAAAGCTCTCCAAGATGACCAGATTAATTTATATTGCTACCAGCAATATCATGATTATATCTCTTTCCCTAGAGCCCTAATGGTAGCTTTTATTATTTTTGTTAATTAAATACTTTTTTTTTTTTTTTTTTTTTTTTTTTTTTTGAGACGGAGTCTCGCTCTGTCGCCCAGGCTGGAGTGCAGTGGCCGGATCTCAGCTCACTGCAAGCTCCGCCTCCCGGGTTCATGCCATTCTCCTGCCTCAGCCTCCCGAGTAGCTGGGACTACAGGCGCCCGCCACCACGCCCGGCTAGTTTTTTTGTAGTTTTAGTAGAGACAGGGTTTCACCGTGTTAGCCAGGATGGTCTCGATCTTCTGACCTCGTGATCCGCCCGTCTCGGCCTCCCGAAGTGCTGGGATTACAGGCTTGAGCCACCGCGCCCGGCCTAATTTAATACTTTTTAGAGTTGGAATGTAACTCCAGAAACCTTGGAATCATCCTTGATTCACTATATCAAATTAATTACATCTGTACTACTATACCCTCCTTATTTCTATACTGTCTCCTGATCTGCCCCCTTTAATCCACTCCCCACACTGCAGTATCAGTGACCAAAAATATAAATCTAACCAATTATTCCTATGCCTAAAACCTTCCCAATGCTCACAGGATAAAATCTAAACTCCTCAAAAAGTCCTATAAAGACCAGGTTCCAGCTTACCTCTCCCAATCAGTCGTTCCCTCCACATCTTAACTCAGCACTCAGTGTCCTAAGTCACTGGTAGTTTCCCTTAACAGCTGTCTTCAGGCATCTGCATAGAATCTTCACCCTACCTTTGGTGTACTTTCCCAAACCTCTCTCATTCAGTTTTTCTCTGCCTAAGTCTAATTCTTTCTTCAGGTTTCAACTTAGATTCTTCTGGGAAGCAGAAGAATCTAGCCATCTTCCACTCCCATATGTTAACCCTTTCTATGTGCTCACACGTAAATGCATATTAGTTACTTAAATAATTTGACAAAATATTTTCTATGTATATTGTGTTATTTTCTACCATGCAGACTGCCTTCTATTATCTTCTTTTAAAATTTTAAATATACAAATGCAACCTATTTTAAAATATCTATTTCTTTCATAGTCCTACTATAATCTGCCTTCCACAGTCTCAACAGTAAAGGAACACCCATTATATGCCAGGCACTGTGCTAGACTATCTCACTTAATTCTAAAAAACAAAAAAAACTGTAAGACCTGTAGCTTCAATTTGTAAAGGAGGAGACCAAGGCTGGTGGAGTGTTGTGTGGTGGTCAAAATAACCTAGTGTGGGTCCAGGCACAGTGGCTCATGCCTGTAATCCCAGCACTTTGGGAGGCAGAGGTGGCCTGATCACTTCAGGCCAGGGGTTTGAGACCAGCCTGGCCAACATGGTGAAACCCTGCAGATCAGTTAAGGCCAGGAGTTCTAGACCAGCCTGGCCAACATGGTGAAACCCTGTCCCTAATAAAAATACAAAAATTGGCTGGGCATGGTGGGGGGTGCCTGTAATCCCAGTTACTCGGGAGGCTGAGGCAGGAGAATCGCTTGAACCTGGGAGGTGGAAGTTGTAGTGAACCCAAATTGTGCCATTACACTCCAGCCTGGGTGACAGAACAAGACTGTGTCTCACAAACACAAAACAAAGCAAAACAGTGTGGGATAGGCGCAGTAGCTCACACCTATAATCCCATCACCTTGGGAAGTTGAGGCAGGCAGATCACTTGAGCTCAGGAGTTCGAGACCAGCCTGGCCAACATGGTGAAACCCCATCTTTACTAAAAATACAAAAAATTAGTCGGGTGTGGTAGCTTATGCCTGTAGTCCCAGCTACTCGGAGGCTGAGGCAAAATTACTGCTTGAACCTGGGAGGCGGGGGTTGCAGTGAGCCTACATCACACCACTGCACTCCAGCCTGGGTGAAAGAGCAAGGCTCTGTCTCAAAAAATAAAAAATAAAATAACCTAGTGAACTGCAGAAATCATACCTGTATCCAGGTTTGTCTAATTCTAAAAATCTCTCTGTTAATATATTATTCCTGGCTTATCAAATATTAATTTCTTAGCAAATTTATATTCCTGTTTTCTTTTTTGTTTACCATATAGTTTTAATAATTTTAGGAAAAAATCTATAATCATTACCTTTCTCTCCAAAATGTCCTTGGGTCTTCTTACATGACATTTACTCTTACTGGTTTCAATGGAATAGAAGAGGTAGAGAATTACCATTGGATGAACCTGGAAAAGCATGATCTGGGATACTGTTCCACTAATAACCTTCTTTTCAGTTTAGTGCCCCCTTTTCTGGAGAACATACTCAACTCTCTGTCAAAGAAAACTTTTTGACCTTATTACTCCATCAAATAATAGTACTCATCCCTTCTCTTCATGAAATTTTTATTTATTAATTTTTGTAGAGATGTGGTTTTTTTGTTTTGTTTTGAGACGGCGTCTCGCTCTGTCGCCCAAGCTCGAGTGCAGTGGCACGATATTGGCTTACTGCAACCTCCACCTCCCGGGTTCAAGCAATTCTCCTGCCTCAGCCTCCTGAGTAGCTGGGACTACAGGTGCTCGCCAACACGAACACACCCGGCTAATTTTTTTTTTTTTTTTTTTTCCAGTAGAGACAGGGTTTCACTATGTTAGCCAGGATGGTCTTGATCTCCTGACCTCGTGATCCACCTGCCTCAGTCTCCCAAAGTGCTGAGATTACAGGTGTGAGCCACTGCGCCCGGTCCGAGATGGGGGTCTTACTATGTTGCCCAAGCTGGTTTCAAACTCATGGCTTCAAAAGATCCTCCTGCCTCAGCCTCCCCAAGTACTGGGATCCAAGGAGCAACAGAGTAAAGTGGAAAGAACCCAAACTTCCTATTCTGACCTGGATTGAAATCCCAGTTTTGCCATTTACTTGCTATATGACTGAGTTACTTTCCTTGTTTCCACATTTATAAAATGGACCTAATATACCACAGGGCAGGATTTCTCAACATTGTCACTACTGACATGTTACGTCAAATTATTCTTTGCTATAAGGGCTGTCTCAGGCACTATAGGATGTTTAATCCCTGGACTATACCCTCTAAAAGCCAGTAGCAACCCCTTTAACTTGTGACAACCAAAGATGTCTCCACACATTGCCAAATGTCTCCTAGGAAAAGATCATGCCAGTTGAGAACCACTGCTATAGGGTAACAATGAGAACTAACTGAGATAATAGGTCAAGTGCCCGATACAATGTAGATCTTCAACTCCCCTTTGGTTTCCAGGTCCCTTCAGTTCTCCTTCCTATCTCAAGCCTCCTTCTTTCTCCTTTCTGAAAGTTCTTCCTCTTTCACTCCTACAATGGCCACAGGATCTAAGATTCTATTCACAGCACTTCTTCATTACCTTATTTTTGAAATTATTTTTTATTGATTCATACTCATTCATATTTTCATGGTATATGTGATAATTTGATACATTCATATAATCAAATCAGGGTAATCTATACTATTTCAAGTGGCATTCTTAGCTACTTCTATAGTTCCAGCAATTGCCTTTATTCTAATTGCCTGCAAAACCAGGCCTTTTCAGAAATTTTAGTTCCACATTTACAAGTTAGAAGAAGGAGCTTTTTTGTGCCTGACAGAAATGGCCTAACATCAGACCATGACAAGTTCCTTCTTTTCTGAATGTTTCTTCACCAATAAAATACATATTAATACCTGCCTCACAGAATGCATAAGGATTAGTTACTTCTTTTCTGATGTTTCTTCACCAATAAAATACAGATAATACCTGCCTCACAGAATGTCATAAGGATTAAATAATTACATCAAGAACTTAGGACAGTATCTATCATATAACAAGTTTTCAATAAATAGTAGCTGCTATTACAGATCATCTCACCTAAATGTCCCATGGATATCTTAAACTCATGTTGTTCAAAGCTGAAGTGATCTTATCTCTTCTATTTCTGCTACTGACATCACTCTAGCCCTCCTGGTAGGAAACCCTAGTTTCATCTTTTGTTTTGTTTTTAAAGATGGGGTCTCCCTATGCTGCTCAGACTGGTGAAACGTGGTTATTCACAGGCATGATTATAGCACACTATAGCTTCAAACTCCCAGACTCAAGTGATCCTCCTGTCTCAGCTTCCTGAGTAGCTGGGACTACAGGCACTTGCCACCATACCCAGGTTCATTTTTTAACATACCATAATCCCATCAACTGCCAAATGTATTGCACTTACTTCAGCAATTTCTCTTAGGCTCACTGACATCACCTTAGTTCAGATGTTCATTACTTTCTTGTCTGAACATTGCAATAGTCTTCTAAATGATTCTATTTTTAGACTCCCCATATCTACTGTACACACTGCTAATTTAATCTTCCTAACACTTAGATGACATAGAAAAATGTTCAATATATACTATTAGGCTTAAAAAACAGATTACAAACCAGTACATACTGTAGTATAATCCTAATTTTATAAAATATGTAAAAAAAAAAAAAAAAACCGGGCCGGGCGCGGTGGCTCAAGCCTGTAATCCCAGCACTTTGGGAGGCCGAGATGGGTGGATCACGAGGTCAGGAGATCGAGACCATCCTGGCTAACACGGTGAAACCCCATCTCTACTAAAAATACAAAAAAAAAATTAGCCGGGCGTGGTGGCAGGCGCCTGTAGTCCCTGCTACTCGGGAGGCTGAGGCAGGAGAATGGCGTGAACCCAGGAGGCGGAGCTTGCAGTGAGCCGAGATAGTGCCACTGCACTCCAGCCTGGGCGACAGAACAAGACTCCGCCTCAAAAAAAAAAAAAAAAAAAAAAAAAACCAAAACGCCCTCCTTCCATCCACACATATATACATAAAAAGATAAAGGAGGGGGAAAAAATCTCTCAAAGGATATACTCCAAAATGGCAAGAAAAGTTATCTCTGGATAGTTGGATTACGGGCAATTTATTTCCTGGTTTGAACTTTTTTCTGTATTTTCTACAGTTCCAACAATAAATGTATTATTTTATGTAAGAGTTAAACAATTAATAATATAACATATATCCTTCTGCGACTTCCTCACTGCTTATGTTAAAAGGTCACAAATTCTTTGCCCTGCACTCAAAGACCTCTATGGCCTTACTCAATTACTCTCCTCTTATATTCCCTACTTTCTATTCCCACTGCTACCTGTTCAAATCCATCCACTCCTTCAGGGTTCTGCTTAAATATCTCTAATACAATCATGGCATAAGTGGAAAAAATAGGTCTACCTGATTCTTAAGTCACTCATTTAAAAATCCTGCTCTTCCAGTTACTGACCTTGGGCAAGTTAACTAAAACCTCTGAAATTAAAATGTCCTCACCTATAAATGGAGGACAATACAACCTACTTCAAATGGCAGTAATTAAATAACATAAGGTAAGCCTGAGCAGTGGCTCAGCTCATGCCTATAGTCCTAGCACTTTGGGAGGCCAAGGCAGGTGGACTGCTTGTGCCCAGGAGTTCAAGACCAGCCTGGGCAACATGGCAAAACTCCATCTCTACGAGAAATACAAAAAGAAGCTGGGCAGGGTAGCACATGCTTGTAGTCCCAGTAACTTGGGAGGCTGAGGTACAAGAATCACCTGAGCCTTGGGAGGTTGAGGCTGCAGTGAGCTGTGATCACACCACTGCACTCCAGCCTGGGCAACAGAATGAGACTCTGTCTCAATCAGCAACAGAAGGTAAAACAAGTTAAGTGTCTAACACAATGTGTTATTTTCTTCCATCTTGTTTGTAAGGGACATATGTGGCTCAAATTTGCAGCAGTGATAAATCTTGCAATGTTTTACCCAGTGTTCTCTCCAGAATAAACAAAGGCAAGAGAATGTTAATCAAGGAACAGCCTCAAAACTCAATTATCACACTTCCTCAGTTTCCTGAGGGAAGTCTAAGAGCTTCTCTTTAGCTCCCCTAAAACAGTGGTTCCACTCTTGTTCTACTTATTTTTTCACTTTCTGTACAAACTATGGAAAGTGATCATTTTCATACATAACCATGGCTTTATCATCCATAAACTCAATTCTCAAATCTGTATCTCCAACTCAGATTTCTTTCTGTATCTCAAGATTTAAAAATCAAAGTGTCTACTGAATGTTTAACCTGGTTGTCCCACAAGAAAACTAAACTCAAAATCCTAAAATAAACTTTTATTTCCCTCCAAATTGTCTGTCTTCCTACATTCCCTATGGCACCATTATCCACCAAAGACAGAAACCTGAGAGACATCTTATATTCCTCTTTTATCCCCTTTTCTCCATATTCAAGTTCTGTAGTCCATCTCAAACATTAAGTCCCACCTGCATCCCAAACATGCCAGACAGTTTCATGCCTTAGTGTTTTGGAACACATTATTCCCTCTACCTAGAGAATCTTCCACTTCCTTCTTTGCTTGACTAACTTCTCTCATCCTTCAGAATTGAGCTGAAGGATTTTCTCCTCTAGAAAACAAAAGCCAACTAGCATTTACTAAACACATACTATATTCTAATCACTGTGCAAAACACTTTGCATGCATTGTCTTGCCTAATACTCTAAATTCAGTGACAAGGTAGGTACTGTTATGTTTCTACAGTTGGGGGAGGCCAAGATGTAACTCATGGGAGGTCATATATAAATAGTAAATAGTAGAAATGAAATTCAAACTTAGGTCTGACCCTAGTGCATAAGAATGCTCTTAGCCACCCTACTATACCACAGCTTCCCTTTTCCAGCCCCTACCCCCACAATCCTACAACCTCGTGATTAGTTAGGGGTCTCTCCTTTAGCTGCCATAATGAACGGATTGTGCAGCACACTATAAATCTTTAATGTTTGGTTTGTCTTTTCTCAAATGAGTCTGTGAGTAAAGCAATTTGAAGACAAAGTCTATTTCATTTACAATAGTCTCTCATTATCCAGAGTTATCCAATGTCTGAAAATAAATGGAAAATTCCAAAAATAAACAATTCATACTTTTTGTTTGTTTGTTTTTTGAGACAGAGTCTCACTCTGTTGCCCAGGCTGGAATGCAATGGCGCAATCTTCACTCACTGTAACCTCCGCCTCCCGGATTCAAGTGATTCTCCCTGCCTCAGCCTCTTGGGTAGCTAGGATTACAGGTGCCCGCCACCACACCTGGCTAATTTTTGTATTTTTAGTAGCGATGGGGTTTCGCCATGTTGGCCAAGCTGGTCTCGAACTCCTGACCTCAGATGATCCACCCACCTCGGTATCCCAAAGTGCTGGGATTACAGGCGTGAGCCACAGCACCTGGCCAACAATTCATAAGTTTTAAGTTGCACACTGTTGTCAATTGCGTGATGAAATCTCGAGCCTTCCCGCTCAGGATGTGAATCATCCTTTTGCCCAGCCTATCCATGCTGTATATGCTACCTGCCCTTTAGTCATCAACATCTCCTGCTCAACATTATCATGGCTCAATGATCCAAGATCATCTACAGCAGATGATTCTCCTTCTGACTTATCAATAGTGGCCGAAGGCTATATCACAATGCTGTCATTCACCTTACCTCATCAGGAAGGCAGTTTATCATCTCACATCATCACAAGAAGGGTGACTACAGTATAATAAAATATTTTGAAAAAGAGAGACCACATTCATGTAACCTTTATTATATTGTTATAATTGTTCTATTTTATTAGTACCTATTATATAAATTAGACTGCCGGGTGCGGTGGCTCAAGCCTGTAATCCCAGCACTTTGGGAGGCCGAGACGGGCGGATCACAAGGTCAGGAGATCGAGACCATCCTGGCTAACACGGTGAAACCCCGTCTCTACTAAAAAATACAAAAAATTAGCCGGACGTGGTGGCGGGCGCCTGTAGTCCCAGCTACTCGGGAGGCTGAGGCAGGAGAATGGTGTGAACCCGGGAGGCGGAGCTTGCAGTGAGCTGAGATCCGGCCACTGCACTCCAGCCTGGGTGACAAAGCGAGACTCTGTCTCAACAAAAAAAATAAATAAATAAATAAAAAATAAATTAGACTTTATCATAGGTATGAGAAAAAGCAGAGTTCAATACTATTCCAGGTTTCAAGCATCTACTGGGGTCTTGGAATATGTCCCCCTCAGATAAGTGGGAACTACTATATCTGTATCGCTGTACCCAGCAGACTGCTTGGCCCATGGTAGCCTTAAAAAGTATTAGGGGGAGCCACACAAGGTGGCTCATACCTGCAATCCCAACACTTTAGGAGACCAAGGTAGGTGGATCACTTGAGGCCAGGAGTTCGAGACCCCCCCCACCCCATCTCTATCAAAAAAAATTTTTTTAAATTAGCCATTCAAAATGGCTTATTCCTATAGTCCCAGTTACTCAGAAGGCTGAGTCAGGAGGATGGCTTGATCACCCAGGGATTTTGAGGCTGCAGCAGGCTATCATCACACGACTGCACTCAGCCTGAGCAACGAAGTGAAACTCTGTCTCTAAAAAAAAAAAAGTATTGTGACTCATGCCTGTAATCCCACCACTCTGGGAGGCCAAGGAAGGCGGATCACTTGAGGTCAGGAGTTCGAGATCAGCCTGTCCAACATGGTGAAACCCCGTCTCTACTAAAAATACAACGATTAGCCAGGTGTGGTGGTGCACCTGTAATCCCAGCTACTCAGGAGGCTGAGGCATGAGAATCGCTTGAACCTGGGAGGCAAAGGCTGCAGTGTGCCGAGATCACGCCACTGCACTCCAGCCTGGGCAACAGAGACTCCGTCTCAACAACAACAAAAAAAGTATTAAAAAGTACTAGGTTCCTTTTCCCTTCCCCCACCTCAAGTCAGAAACTATATTCCATAGCACTTTATACTTCTCTTAGGACACTTATCTCCGCCTCATATGAGCATTTTGCTTCCTTATTTATCCCACCAGACTATGCTCTTCGAGACCAGCATGGGCAACATGGTGATATCCTGCCTCTACAAAAATTAACTGGGCGTGGTGGTGCAGGCCTGTAATCCCAGATACTCGGGAGGCTAAGGCAGAATTGCTTGAACCCAGGAGGTGGAGGCTGTGGTGAGCCGACATTCCGCAACTGTACTCCAGCCTGAATGACAGAGCCAGACTCTGTCTCAGAAAACAAAAAAAAATAAAAATCTTTATGCTGATACATCTGCCTGTATTAATTGTTCAACAAAAACTTAACCTATAATCAAGACAGCTGTAGGCCGGGAGCGGTGGCTTACGTCTGTAATCCCAGTATTTTGGGAGGCCGAGGTGGGCGGATCACTAAGTCAGGGGTTCGAGACCAGCCTGGCCAATATGGTGAAACCCCGTCTCTACTAAAAATACAAAAATTCGCCGGGTGTGGTGGCGCGCGCCTGTAGTCCCAGCTACTCGGGAGGCTGAGGAAGAAGAATAGATTGAACCGGGAGGCGTAGTTTGCAGTAAGGTGAGATCGTGCCACTGCATGCACTCCAGCCTGGGCGACAGAGCGAGACTCCGTCTCGAAAAATAATAATAATAATAAAACAGCTGTTACCTGTTTTCATTTCTATTGTGTAGATTTCCTCCCACTCCTATTTTTCCACTTAGCAAAACACGGTTCCCAAGGAACAAAGGGGTTTCTGATTATCAAACGCTTCTCGATGCTAGCCACTGGGGAAAATGCAAACTCGGATCAGAAAGGGATTTCTGGTCTCTAAAGAAATTCGATCTAGTAATGAACTCTCGAATCAAAATAGTATATAGAACACTAGGCTGTTCGAGTATGAGAGTCACGTGGCTCTGCAGCGTGACGGCGATTGTCAACGTGGGTTCAGGATCACGTAACAGACTACACAGCCAGCCTGTTAACTAATCCTCTGGGGTTAGTTTCGAGCTGTCTTGCCCAGCCATAACCTGTTTGGAGGGGCTGAGGAGAGAGAGAGAAAGCAGCAAACCATCTTCCCTCAGACCTGTGCATCTTCCCAGACCCTGCATGTCAGGGCTTTCCCCTTGCTGAGGCTCACCCAACACCCCAGGGAGGCGTGGCTCTCACCCACCCACCCGTCTACCTCTCCGAAGGGGCTCGGCTAGCTTTTCCGGGGACCCTTCCCTCTCTAGGTGCCACGCACATGTGCTACTGGAGTAAAGGGCTGCACAAGCCACAGGCGCCCCCTTCTCGCCAGTATTCCAGACGCAAGTGGGCACCCTCCTTCGCGTTAGCCACTCCTCACCTGCTCTGCGGACACCGCCCCCTTGCCCGCGCCGCTCCCGCTGCTCTTGCCGGCGCGACCGCTGTTCTCCGCCATCTTCGCCGCCTGCTGGGTTTCCGGCCGGCGCAGCTCAGCCCCCGCCTTGCGTCACGTCCGGCCTGCGAGTTACCGCCCACTCGCCGCGGCGCTTCTGGCTCCAGGCCGGCCTCCGGATCCGATCCTGCGAATGGTTTTGGCCATATCTTCATGTAGGACCTACTCTCTGTCCCGTCGACCGCAGTGAATCCCACCTGCGGTGCTTTAACTTGTGCAGCAGAGATGCTGCCTATGGCGGGGAGGGATGGTCCAACTGGAGCGGGCGGCGGGAGGGTGGAGGGCGGGGCGCGGCTTGGGGCTTGGGTTCCTTTGCCCCTTGCCCACCATGGAGGGGTTGGACTCGAGGGAGGGCGAACTTTCCCCTGAGAGATTCTGGGGAAAAGGGAAATAAGCTTCGAGTCGGTAAAACTGCGCAAGTGCACAGTCAAGAAGAGAGTCTTGGGAAAACCAACGATAGTTCCCGGAGATGACTTTTGGACTGCGGAAACGTTTGTCAAAGGAAAGGGGCTTCAGTTTAATGTGAGATCATTGGAAGTTGAACTATTCAGGCGGCGAGCATCTTCCCACTGTATGATCTTGTCCCTTAGTACATAATTTCTTATACACTAAAGAGCGTTTTGAAGATTAGAAGGGTTTTACTGGCAGGGCCCTGATTCAGGCTCACAGTATAAAGAGAGAAGTCAGAGAATCCTAGAAATTTATTGCTTGAGGAAGGGGTTGGTGTTCTCATTTCTCACCTTCCTCAGGCTGGGCTTCATCACCAGGCCTCCTCACAGATTCCTGTCCCTTCTGTGTCCCGGACTCCGGATACCTCGACTTTCAGTACCTTGTGCTCAGCCCAGGTAACACGTTTTGTTGTGTCCTCAGTGCCTGGCACTTAGATGCTCAGTTTGTTAAATGGATAGTGGGAGACACAGGAGTGTCAACTATCTACACATTGGATTGGTGAGCCCTACTAGCCCTGGGTCAACGTGCCCTGTAAGAGGATAATCAAAAGGAAGTCCAGCTTTCCTACCTCTCCACTTGAACCCCTTAGCATTAAATTTATGTTTCCCCGTGTTATGAAATCTGAGAATCCTGCCTATGCTATTTACAGGCCCAGAGCCATGGCTATCTCCTCTTCCTCCTGCAAACTGCCCTTGGTGGCTGTGTGCCAGGTAACATCGACGCCAGACAAGCAACAGAACTTTAAAACATGTGCTGAGCTGGTTCGAGAGGCTGCCAGACTGGGTGCCTGCCTGGCTTTCCTGCCTGAGGCATTTGACTTCATTGCACGCGACCCTGCAGAGACGCTACGCCTGTCTGAACCACTGGGTGGGAGACTTTTGGAAGAATACACCCAGCTTGCCAGGTATCAGGGAAAGAGCGAGGGAGAGGTAGAATCTTAGTTGGACAGTGTCCCTGGATTGCCAGATATGAGGGTAGAGCCTTGAGAAGTCAGTAAAGAGTTGTCAGTGTCCCTTCCACCCAGGGAATGTGGACTCTGGCTGTCCTTGGGTGGTTTCCATGAGCGTGGCCAAGACTGGGAGCAGACTCAGAAAATCTACAATTGTCACGTGCTGCTGAACAGCAAAGGTGAGACTTTATAACCCTTTAGCCTGCCTCTTCCCATGCTCTTCTACCTAAACTTAGATTCTCCAGAATTGTTTCTCAACTCTTATTTCCTTGACCCAAGGATTTAGGGATGTTCCTACTTCAGTTCCTAGCCTATAAACTATCTCCTCGGGAGGAGTAAGCAAGCTTCTAGAACACCAGCACTGAATATCCTTTCTTTCTTACTGTAGGGGCAGTAGTGGCCACTTACAGGAAGACACATCTGTGTGATGTAGAGATTCCAGGGCAGGGGCCTATGTGTGAAAGCAATTCCACCATGCCTGGGCCCAGTCTTGAGTCACCTGTCAGCACACCAGCAGGCAAGGTGGGAGTTGTGAAAGAATGAGGGAGGGGAACAGGAATACTCTGAACTAGCGGTAGAGGATACAAAGCCCTAAGAAAGGGGGTAATGGAAGTATGACTAGTTGCTGTGACAAACAGAGCAGGAAGACTACTAAGTAGGCTGTTTTTCATTCCAGGTTGGTCTAGCTGTCTGCTATGACATGCGGTTCCCTGAACTCTCTCTGGCATTGGCTCAAGCTGGAGCAGAGATACTAACCTATCCTTCAGCTTTTGGATCGGTTACAGGCCCAGCCCACTGGGAGGTAAGACAACACGTTTTTGAAACATAAGGGCCTTTTAACCTTATCCTCTCTGCTTGGCCCTACCAGTTAAATTCCTTCCCCTTTCCACCTAGTGGGAAAACTCATTCCCCAGATAATTCTCATGTTACAGAATAGTTAAAATAGTAAATCATTCCCAGGCAATTATCAGAATAGTCACAATGGGTAGATTGGTCTGTAATGTCCCTCAACTGTCACTTCCCCACTATTTGCTACATGTACTTATGTGAACACACATTTCATCCCCAGGTGTTGCTGCGGGCCCGTGCTATCGAAACCCAGTGCTATGTCGTGGCAGCGGCACAGTGTGGACGCCACCACGAGAAGAGAGCAAGTTATGGCCACAGCATGGTGGTAGACCCCTGGGGAACAGTGGTGGCCCGCTGCTCTGAGGGGCCAGGCCTCTGCCTTGCCCGAATAGACCTCAGCTATCTGCGACAGTTGCGTCAACACCTGCCTGTGTTCCAGCACCGCAGGCCTGACCTCTATGGCAATCTGGGTCACCCACTGTCTTAAGACGACTTCTGTGAATTCAGACCCGCCCCCACCAGCCCCCACCCCGCCATTGTGAGCTGGTGCTCATGTGACTTGGAGGCAGGACCCAGGCACAGCTCCCCTCACTTGGAGAACCTTGACTCTCTTGATGGAACACAGGCTTGGCTTCTTAGGAAAGAAACTTTCACCTGAGCTTCACCTGAGGTCAGATTGCAGTTTCAGAAAGATGGCATTTTATATAGTCATTGTTTATTTCATGAAAACTGAAGTTCTGCTGAGGGCTGAGCAGCACTGGCATTGAAAAATATAATAATCATAAAGTCTATGTCTGGACATCGCCTTTGGGAACTAGAAGGGGAGTTGGTATTGTACCAGCTGGACTAAGCTCCAGTTCTAGACCTGGCTCATTCAACATGCGTCCCTACATAAATAAAAGTGCAACACTCAGTGCATGTCCCAGCCCCATTCTCCCAAGCATGGGAGTGGGCGTAGGAGTGGAGGAGGGGGAAGGAAAAAGGAATTACTTCACTTTCACCTATGATGCCCTTTGCCCAAGCCAGAAGAAAGCAAAGGGGAAAAGGGCTGCAGGGTACATTATTTATTTTCACTTGAACATGGAAAGAAAGTGTCACACTCCCCCTTCCCCTTTATAGGGGGAGTGTATTTTAATCAGCAACCTCTTCTCCATCCACCCTGTCTATGTGTGTACACATATACCACCACAATTGGGAGGAGTGACTCAGCTGACCCAGTCTTCTTATCTGTTCCTCCGTTGAAGAGGGTTTGACAAATGGGTAAAAGGAAGGAGCCACATCAGGCAGAGGTTTCAAGCCACGGAATGGAGGAAAGGCAGCAGAGAGGAGCAGCACCAGAGGCCAGGAGAGAGTGGAAAGGGTCACAGCTTCTTTGTTTTTAAAAAATTCTATAATTTGGAAGAGGGTGGCGATTAATTTTCAAAATACACTTCAGAGTCCCACCTTCCACACAGCTCCCTTACTCACAGCCCTTTGGTTTTTTTAGACAACATTTAAGAGCTCTCATAAAGCCAGAAGTATTGATAACTCCTTAGTGCACCCAAAAGCAGTGTTCACATCAATCCCTTACAAAGACTATGTGCTGTAGACTTCGCTTCTCCCTATACATTTGTCTTACGGCTCAGTGGTAAGGTAGCTGTAGAGACACACATTAGGGGGTAAATGGAAAAGGGAAACAAAGGGGAAGCCCAGGCACATGGGTGCAGGGAGGGGAGGGGAACACCACTTCCACTTTCGTCTTTTTCTTTAAAAAAAAAAAAAAAAAAAAAAGGCAGGGGTGTGATTGGTTGGAAGGGTAGAGAACAAACCCCAGAACAGTGTAAGCTCCAGAGATGGGTGATGGGAACAGTCCCCAAAGTGAGAAGAGGGAAAAGGTCAGGGTAATGCTTGCAGCATCAAGTTCCTCAGGAGTTTCTGTCGGCCCAGCTCATAGTCCTCCTCGTCTACATTTACCAGCAGCTTGATGGCTTCATGGCCCACAGCTTGCTTGAGGGAGTCTGTGATGAAGACACCTTTAAGTGCCTCTAATAAAGAGCCATTGATGTAGTCGCGCCAGAATGCGTCGAGGTAGGTGAGCTCAGAGAACTTGATGTCACAGATGATGGAGCCCAGGTCCCGGGACTTGAGGATGGTGTTAGCCTGGTTAAAGCGCTCAAACTGGCGCTCAAGTGGGTCCTGCTTGTTAGAGAAGACGTTGCCCTGCAGAGCAGTCTCATGCTGGCAGTACTCAGCCCGAACCCGCAGTCTGATGTCTGTTGGAAACAGAAGATAGAGAGCAGAAGAGGTTACAGTGAGGGATGAGTTTACAACCCAAGCTTGAAAACTGAAAAGCACAGCAGAATAAAAAAGTAGGGAATATCACCTGACAGCTTCTCTACCTCTTCCCCAGGACTATTTCTATGTATCTCTGAAACGCTTGCCTGAATGCAGGAGGTTCCTTTAAACTGGACATGCCCAGGTCAGCACTGTTCCCATTACCCACAGGTAGCAACTTGCTTATAGGAGATAGTTTCCTAATTACCAGGCACAGAAGTTCATTTTAATACTCTATCTTGACTTGGTTCATCCTACAATAAGGATGTCGTAACAACATCCCTGTGATGTAGTATTAACTAAGAAGAGTTGAAATGTACCCTGCCACAGTCACAAAGAGCAGTTCTTCCACCAGACACCAAACCATTCAGCCTCACTTTGCAATGGCAATCAAAGTGAATCTCACACTGAATAGCATAAACTGCCTAGTGTCCCAGCAGTTCTTTATATTCTGCTTCAAGTCTGCTCCACCTCTGGAACCCTTGAACTTCCTCACCACATGTCTGCTTTTCCTTGGGATCTGGTGTCACTGACTTCCGGCGTTTTCGCTGGCTCCCAAGTGTGGCTCTCCCTCGGGCTGGCCGCTTGCTACACATCTGAGGACCCGAAGTGGGGCAGCACACCACAGGATAGTGGGGAGGCACTGACCAGAAAGTAAAAAGGAAGAAAACACAGTAGGGTAAAGGCAGAAATTCAAACACTTCTCTTGGAATGAGGAAGGAATCATTTAGACTTAGCACTAAAAGCAGTGGAAATAATGTGACTTGAAAAGACAATGTGAGAGCAAATACAGGACCTAGGAGAAACGTCAACACCTCACCTGATTTTTTTTTTTTTTATGGGGCAAGCTGTGGGGCACAGCATCCTTTCATTTAAGCTGGCAAAGCCCAGAATGTGATGGGATCAGTGTCCTTTTACTTGATGATGGAAAGTAGGGGGAGTTAATGTCTTCTCACCTGTTTTAGGGGGCTGGGGAGGCCTTGGTTCTGGATCACTGAGGGCTCTGGGGGTCACATAGCGAATTGATGTCTCCTCCAGATATTTGTCTACAAGATCAGGGCACACTGTAGGAGGAGAAGTAATCATTCAGGAAAATATATACCCTTCCCTTCTGTCAGTCCAAACCCCCAATGGGCCTCACAACTTACTCTAAGTACTCCCCAGGGTCAATGTGTCTTCCCCTTTGGATGCCTATGCTGCTCCTTCCTGGCCTCCCACAACTCTTCCCTGATTCTAGCCCCTAATACATCCTCACCAGCCCGTCTTCTCTTGAGGGTGACATAGGGCAGCAGGTCATGGCGAGTGATGATGCGCAGCAGCTGCAGCACCTGGCGAAAGTTACTTTCATCACAGCGGCCCTGGCGCTCCAGTGCCAATAAGAAGTCACGTCCATTTCGGATGAGTCCACGCTCGTGGTCATCAATGACATCAACAAAGAGGAAAGAAAGCACGCGCACATCTCTGTGTGTCAGATGAGTGCCCACGATGTCAAACATGCGGTGCAGGCTGTACAGCCCATGTTCCTGCTCACCATGTTCTTCTGGCCACACCTGGCTTGCCCGCCGCTTTAGGCCCGCCATGCTGGGGGCTCAGGTACGCAATGCTTTCCAGAATCCCTGCTCAGCAGCTGCAATCCACACTGTACTGAAAGGGCAGGGAAAGAACCGATGAGATACTCAAGGGCAGGAACTAGTCTTAGGCATTCCCATATTCCCAGTCGCTAATAATGCCTGGCACAGTATAGTGCTTTATACATGTTTATTACATTTTTTAAAGTGTTTGTTTACAAATAAACACTGGCTGGGCACAGGGGCTCACACCTGTAATCCCAGCATTTTGGGAGGCCAAGGCAGGAGGATCACTTGAGCCCAAACATTCAAGACCAGCCTGGGCAACATATGGAGACCCGTTTCTACAAAAAAGAAAAAATTAGCTGGGCTTAGTGGTACACGCCTGTAGTCCCAGCTGCACAGGAGGCTGAAGTGGGAGGAAGGCTTGAGGCCAGGAGTTCAAGATCAGCCTGGGCAACATATGGAGACCCCAGTTCCTACAAAAAAGAAAAAATTAGCTGGGCTTGGTGGTACACGCCTGTAGTCCCAGCTACTCAGGAGGCTGAGGCAGGAGGATCACTTGAGGCCAGGAGTTCAAGGCTGCAGTGAGCTATAATCCTGCACTGTAGCCTGGGTGACAGAGTGAGACCCTCACCTCAAAAAAAAAGAAAAGAACTAGTTTAAATTCTGACTGTTCTCACTGAAAAGCTGTGTAGCTGTGTGACCGTAAGCAAGTCACTTAACTCCAAATTCTCAGTGCTGTCATCTGTAAACAGGGATGAATGAATCTACACCTCAGAGGTGTTAAGAATCCAATGAGAAAATACATGCAGAATCACTTGGTAACCCTTACATAAATGGTTGTGAAACAGATTTCAAAGATACAAGCATCCTTGGCCTTTGCAGCCCAGAATCATCCCTCCACATTTTTCCTACAGTCCAACCACATCCAGAAACAATAACTGCTCAGAAAGTTTATCAATATTTACCAAAACTCATGGATTTAAAATAACATTTATTACGTTTCTACAATAAGCATTCTTGTAATTCTGTGCCATTTGTACTCCCTTGATCGTCACACTATTTGGCAATACCAACTTTTTTTTTTTTTTTTTTTTGAGATGCAGTCTCACTGTGTCACCCAGGCTGGAGTGCAGTGGCACAATCTCGGCTCACTGCAACCTCTGCCTCCCGGGTTCAAGCGATTCTCGTGCCTCAGCCTCCCCAATAGCTGGGATTACAGGCAAGCGCCACCATGTCTTGCGAATTTTTGTATTTTTAGTAGACACGGGGTTTTACCATGATGGCCAGGCTGGTCTTGAACTCCTGACCTCAGGTCATCCGCCCGCCTTGGCCTCCCAAAGTGCTGGGATTACAGGCGTGAGCCACTGTACCTGGCCTTGGCAATACCAACTTCTAAGCTTTCCTCATGGATGTCATTTACCAATCCCCTATCAATGACCAATCACAGCCCCACATTCATTATATAGTTTGGCACTTGATTCACAAAGTTCCTCCATCATTATGGGCTATGGTTAATAACAATGACACAGTCATTAATCAATTCTCAAATTCAACAACTTTCACTCCACTCAAGTCACTCATACTTACTGCTCCACCAGACAGTACCATCCAATACTGTCCACTCTCTGGTCACAATCTCCAATCACACAATCAATTCTAAATTCCTGTTAATGCTACTTCTAGATATTTCTTAAATCTGTCCTACCTTTCCACCTCCACTGCCATGGTTCAGATTACAATAATCTTTCACCTGGACTACTGTTACTTTAAAAGTTCTCTGCAACACCAATTTTAACCTACCTAAATCCATCCACTGCCACATCCAGTTCAGTAAGCTGTCTAAAGTCCACAACTGACCAAGTCACTTTCCTGCTTCAGACCCATTGATAGCCCCTTCCTTATCTATAAGAACACTCCAAACTCTCTCTTTTTTTTGAGACAGAGTCGCTTTGTTGCCCAGGCTGGAGTGCAGTGGCACAATCTTGGCTCACTGCAACCTCCGCCTCCCTGGTTCAAGTGATTCTCCTGCCTCAGCTTCCCGAGTAGCTGGGACTACAGGCGCACGCCACCACACCCAGCTAATTTTTGTATTTTTAGTAGAGATGGGGTTTCACCATATTGGCCAGGCTGGTCTTGAACTCCTGACCTTGTGATCTGCCTGCCTAGGCCTCCCAAAGTGCTGGGATTACAGGCGTGAGCCACCACGCCTGGCCGAACACTCCAAATTCTTTACACACACATCAAGCCTTCTAAGATCAGGCCTACCTTCCCAACCTCATCTCCCACCACATCCACTTTTTATTCTCTAACATTATCAATTTGTTTATAGCTCACATACATCATGCAATTTGTTTCTCTATACCTTCTTCTCTTTGCTTGAATGCCCCTCTCCCTTCTCTATTCCACACCCCCATCACTCTTTTTCAGATGGCTAACTCCTACTCATTCTTTAAGAGTCAGCTCAGATGCCATCTTCAAAATGCATTCTCTACACCCCCATGCTGAGATAAGTAGTCCTCTTCCGTGCTCTTATTGAACACTATGCATACCTCTTTTACACCATTTATCACCATGTACTAAAATTATTTGTGTATTTATTATCCCATTAGATCCTACTCAACTCATAGAGGGGCTATGTCATATTCATCTTTATATCCCTAGTGACTAGTAATGGACAGAGCCTCAAATATAGTAGGAGCAACCCACTGTTGAACTGAACTTAATCTCCAAGAGATCACCTCCAGCAATTCCAATTAAGAAACAAACTCACAAAATTCCGAGAGGACCCCATTAAAAACAGAGATACAGGTAACTCAGTTACCATGCATATATTCTAACTAGCCATAGCCTCCTCTGCAATGTCCAGAACTACCCACACCATACCACACCACACTACCCTACTCAACAATAAGACAGGTTGTTCTGTCCATTTATACAAAAAGGAACTGAGGCTAGACTAAGAAACAATAAAATAATAAGCTGCTTTGGAAAAACAAAGCTGATAGAGACTTGGAAAGCTGAAGAGTAAGTAGGAACTAGTCCTCTCTTCCTCAGATGAGAAACTAAAATGAAAGCACAGAGAAACTCATTCCCTTAAGAAAAGGGGAGGTACACTCTGGGATCACTTAACCCTATACCATGGGTTCTGACATGTAGAAAGGAAATGTAATCCATATATAATTTTGAGAGCCCAGATGCCCCACCCAAAGCATGGAAAATAGCTATTCAATTGTAGACTGCTATTCCTTGTCTCTTCCTCTCGATTCACCTGTTGCTGTCACTGGGTACAAATGAAGGTGCTAAAGGAAAATAAGTTCTTGCTCATAGCAGGCAACATGAGAAAACTGAGCCTCCTCAGAGCCCCTGTAACTTCTCCTTGTTCCCTATCCCACCTGTTCCCTTGGGCCAGCTGTTGATTATGAGGAGCTCAGATAAAGCAGATGGGTAGGTTTCACATTAAACCAACCAGAAGAGCCGGTTGCTCCCCAGTTCCCAAATTTAAAGTGTGCTTAAACCCGAGGAAATGAAGAAACATTGTCCCCACATACCCTCACAATGGAAAATGAGGCAAAATACAGGAAAGCACTGTGGTCCTAATTACGCATCAATGGATGTAATTCTATAAGCTTCAATCCCTTGAAGTTAACTCCCTACATTTGAGAGGAAACAAACACACTAGCCACCTTTAAGTCCCAGATCCCAGGCTAGATCATCAATGTACTAGGAATTATAAGAGCTTTTAGGTCAGTGGTTCTCAACCAGGGGCAAATTTGACCCCTGGGGAATATGTCACAATGTCTGGAGACATTTCTGATTATCATGCCTGGTGGGGAAGGGGACTGCAATCAGCACATGAGTAGAAGCCAGGGATATTTAGAAACATCCTATAAGACAGGTGCAGTGGCTCACGTCTGTAATCCCTGCACTTTAAGAGGCCAAGGGGGGAGGAACGCTTGAGTCCAGGAGTTTGAGATCAGCTTGGACAACATGGTGAAACCCCATCTCTACAAAAAATAAAAAATTAGCCAGGCGTGGTGGCATGCACCTGTGATCCCAGCTACTTGGGAGGCTAAGGTAGGAGAATCGCTTGAGCCTGGGAGGTCAAAGGTGCAGTGGGATGTGATAGTGCCACTACACTCTAGCCCAGGTGACAGAGACAGACCCTGTCTCAAAAGAAAAAAGAAACATCCTATAATGCACAGAACAGTCTGCCACAACAAAGAATCATCCAGCACAAAATGTCAATAATGCCGAGGATGAGAAACCCTATTCTAGGTGGAGCATGATGAAGGGTCAAAAGAATGCATGTCACTTTCCACACTAGATCTAGAAGAAGCCATTTGGTCCCCCCAATCCAAACCCATCAAACAACATTCTGGAAGAAAAGAAAAGCCTATCGGACATACACATTCATTTAACTCCCAAGTCTAACTGCACTAAGGTGTTTCATGCCATTCCAACCTTGGGTCCTCTGTCACCTGCTGTTGCCATTCAGCTGAAGAACAGGTGGTAGTTCTACACCCACTTCTGCCCCATCCCAGGAGGTCTACTTTGACCTAGTTCAATCTGGAGTTCTGTGGGGATATTAGAAATGTAATCCTCTGCAAGACAGATACAAAGGATCCTGCTCATAAGCCTCAGGGCCATCTTTAAAGTCTTGAAACTGGATGAGTAGCAGACTCTCCTTGTTAGGTCACTAATCAGACTTATATTGCTTATTCAGTGAAGCAAAACATAGAAATATGTAAGTTCCTCAAGGCCATGTCCTTGGGAGAAATATGAGGATGCTGTCATGCAGGTTAAGGGGCAGCCCTCTTCACTTAATGCAACCCAGATAAGGGTTCCAAGAATCTATCTAACTTTAACATTAAAATAATGTGATGAGGCCTGGCACAGTGACTCACACTTGTAATCCCAACACTTCGGGAGACCAAGGCAGGACTGATTGAGCCCAGGAGTTCGAGACCAGCCTGAGCAACATGGCACAACCCCATCTCTACAAACAATAAACAAAAATTTGCTGGGCATGGTGGGACATACCTGTGGTCCCAGCTACTCTAACGCATCACTGCACTCCAGCCTGGGGTACACAGTGAGACCTTGCCTCAAAAAAAAAAAAAAAAAGGAAAAAGGAAAAAAAATGTGATGAAAGTTCAGCTGATTAGTAAAATTAGAAAAGAAAACATGACCAATTTCTTCTAAAACCAAAATATACTCAGATTTCTGTGGCAGTGAAGCAAGGGAGCTCAACTTAAAACATACAGAGATCCTAGATAACAGGTACCAGAATGGTGAGGAGAATGTAGCCCTCTGAACAGAAGATTAGAACTAACTCAAGTCTTGGTATCTGAAACACTGCCAAATACCAAGAGACAAAACTCTAGCACACAGAAAGTCCTGATCCCACTGACTGGTCTGGCTCTATGTGACAGTAACACATGAATTCTCCCCTACAGTTTCCCAAGAATAATTGATTCTGAAGAATTGCTGTATTTCCTGGAGTTTTACTTTTTTCTTTAGAGAAGTCCAAGTCAGCCAAGGGCCAACAGACAGTCTACAGGTATCTTCAGGATTTTCTCCTGATTGGTCCTTCTCTACTATGTTTCTACTTCCAAGCAAAGTCTGGTCTCATCCCAACCAGGAATAGCTGTAGTTTTTGAGGTACTTGGCTCTCTCAGAAGCCCTTAGGGGAAAGCCACGTGAAAGAAATAAAAAAGAGTGCTGTCTTGAAATGAAAACGACAGTCATCTTTTCTGAACAGGGATGATATTTGTAATTTCATAGGAGAATCAGAGATATCTGACTCAGAAGTCCTCAGAAGAAAAGTCATTTGTAGTTCTTTTTTGTAGAAGAACTACAAAAAAAGTGGTGTCTTGAAACTTGAAATGAAAACTACATAGAAAATCTTAAAGATGGTTAAGAGTACATTCTTGCTCGTGGAACTAGGAAATGTAATAAAAAATCTGGAAGTCAAAATTACACAGTATGTTTTCAAAATAAAGATGCCAGGAACCCCCCAACAGCTAGAAGAGAAAGTGAGAGGAAAAGTTTCCCATGGAAGGAAGGTGTCCCAGCAACCCTCCAAGGGCAAAATTCGGTAGACAATGTACTAGAATACAGCCTTCCATGTGTTAAAAAAAAAAAAAAAGTTTCAGAGCTGCCCAAGAAGACTAGACAATAACAAACCAAAGCTGGGGGATTGTCCCAAGACATCTAAATCTCCTTCTCTTTTCCCTCCTATCTCCAATTAACTAAAGTAACAGTGATTACAACAGATCTCATGCACTCAGATGGGTGAATGAAAACTCATTTTCCCTGGCATTCTCCTCCTCATTAAGGGACCCAACCTCAAAATAACTCTCATGCTATTTCCATTCCCTTCCATTGTTTGAAAACAATAAAAAAGTTCCAGACTTACCTCCGCAAGAAACTTAATTTCCCAGGTCTCTTCCTAGCACAAGTTTCACAGCCAGCAGCAAAACAAAAACAAATAAGGAGAGGAAAATAATTAATTTTCAAGTTTTACTTTGAAACCTCAAAGGCCTATAGAATTAGACAATCTTGTTGCAAAAGTACACAGACAAGCCTAAAGACATTTAGAGAACTCACCCCCAACAAGTCTCCAGGCTTCCCTAACTGTCTATTAGTCAATTTACAAAAATACCAACTCCAAGAATTTCCAGTCTCAATGGCTTGCGGTAAGAAAGCTCCCAAATTTAAGAACTTCTGGGAAAACCAATTACCCTCTGGCACCTTCTCATCTTCCTCCACAATTCCTTATTCCTATTTTGTTACAATATTAATGTTAACTTTCATCTTCAGAAAAAACTGGGAGGCAAGTGGTTACAACAGACTAGCACTATCCTTCAAATTCTACCTTTGGCCCTTTCCCTTAACTAGCACACAATGAGAACAAAATATCTAATGGCGCAGCATCCACTCATACATCTATGTTTCACCAGGGAAAGTTTTTCTACATACAGTATCCATGTTACCCCCTCCCTTCTAGACTTAAACAGCAAAAGGGTCTGGAAACTACAGCACTCATTTAATTAGCCTGTCTAGATGCCACTCTATCTTTTGTCTTTCCCTCCTCAGACTTCCAGAGCCTCCACCTTAGCATATAGGGTTCCAATATAGCCATGTCTGCTCCCCCACTCTTTTATTGCTAATGCTAAAAACTAGAAAAGTCCTTTGCTCCTCCACACTTGGACGACACCGGCTTCCCCATTTTCCCAAGCAGGAAAAACAAGGGAACAGTAAGCTAGGGAGTCTTTTGGAAAACAAACCCAGTTGAATTCTCATCCAACCCCAATTCTGCAAACCCACATGACCATTCCCTTCTGCCCTTCCCACCCTCTTAAAAGCTAAGGACCTGGCAATTAGAATTGGCTGCAACTGATGCTGCTTAACTCTGTTCTCTCCTCCTCTCCACCGGGGAAAGGGAAACCCCCGAACCTCTATCACCCGTGCAGCTCCACTGTCCTATCTCCCATTCCACTCCTTCTTCCCAAACTTTCTTCCTCCCAGTCTCTCACTTTCTCCATTACCTCCTCCCACCGACACTCTCTCCATTCCCCAAACCTCCGTTCTCTCCTTTTCCACCCAAATTCTCCCCTAGGCCCTTGCCCCTCCCACATCCAATTTAACACTTTCGAAGCCCCCCAGAATCGTCTAAACTCCAATTCTGAGATTTCCCCACCTCCTCGCAACACCCCTCATCAGAGTCCAGTCCTCCCTCCAACCACATGCCACAGCCCCCTTCCCCTTCACACCCTCAGCCTCTCCCTCCTGCTCCTACCCACTTCAATACGAGCGGATCGCAGCCCCACTCCCCACCTCGGCCTCTCTAATACCCCTGGCTGGGCCCAGACTCAGCCCTTGTTTACGCCCCTCCCCATGCCCTCACTCCTCGGTCTCGACCCCTGCCCTCTCCCGCAGTTGCCATCTCCCCTGCACGCCCCCCTCGGCAGCTCCCCTCCCCCACCTCTCAGCGTCCCGTCACCTCCCTCTCTTGAGGTTCTCAGGCTGGACGTCGCCACCGCCTCCCCCTCCACTTTCCTTCCCCAAGCCCTTTGCGGCCCCGCCCGGCCCCGCCCCGTCCCGCTCGACTCCCTCTCCCCATTCCGGCCGCCCCTCCGCCTCACTCTCGGCTCAGACTCGGCGCCGCCATATTGGATCCATCCGCGCCGCTCTCCCGGGCCTGTCTCACGGCGCCGCATCCGGGCTCCAGCCGCCGCCGCCGCCGCCGCCGCCGCCGCGGGCGTGGGGGAGGGGAGAGGCGGGCGGGGGTGGCTGCATCCTGAACGGCGCCTCCCGGAACCCGGCCGGTTAGTGGCGGCTTCGAGGCCATAGTGAGACATGAGCCGCAGTAGCCATAGTAAGTGAGGGCAGCCTGGCAACGGCATTAAGCGGGGAGTGGATAGCTTCACTTCGGGAGGACAGATAGGGATTGGCAGCCATCTTGCTTTGGGGCAAGCTGGCAACGCCGGTTTTTCTTGACGGCTGCTTAGGGCGGTAATAAGGAATGGGAGAGGATAGCATTCTTGAATGTGGAAACATTGGTGGCGCCACAGCTGGCTGGTGGCCACTTCAAGACCCACTGAAAGGCTGGGATTGGCAGCCATGACTCATAAGGGCGGAATAGCACGGGGATCGGTTTGTCTGGAGAACTTGAGTGAAGGGTCAAGATCTGGATTTCACCTTTCCTCTGAGCTTCCTGATAACCCGGACGTTCCGTAAACCCGGATCCGGAGCCGAAAGCGCTGCTCAGATCCCGTCTCGGAATTCATTCGTTCAGCATTTACCTTTTGAACGCCGGTTTCCTGTAGCAAGTGTCGCCTAGCTGATCCGTGTAGGGCTGTTGGGAATTGGGGGTGGGGAGGATGGTGCGGGTACGTTCTGGAGCTGCCAACAGCCTGGTGTGGCTTAAGAAAGAGGTAATAGATAGGGGAAGACCAGATTATGCGAAGCCTTGTAAATTAATTGATTTTTATTCTTAAGACTTTTCATTGTCTTTGAAGAATCGCAACAGAGGTGTGAACAATTTTATGGCATTTTAGATCGCTGCGTGCAGTGTAAAGGATGAATTGAGGGGACAAAATGAGAATCAAGGAGAGAGCAGTTGTGAGGCTCTTTTCCAGGCGTCTGCCTGTGGAAGGGAGAGTGCGGATGGGGAGATACAGATTGGATTAAGAGGTACCAATGTTGTGACTTGGACAACTGGGGAATAATGATACCATTTTCTTTCTCGTTTAGGGGGAGATCATGAGTTTTAGGTGCCCCTGGGATATTAGCTAATGTGGGTTGGGAACCCAAAAGAAAGGTTTGAGGTGTGTGTGCATGTGCATATAGATGGCTGTTGAAGCCATGAAATGGGCTGGAGAGAAAGATACCTGCATTTGCAGAATAGGTTGAGGGAAGCCGAAAACAGAACACTGAGAAGGGGCAAACCGAAAGGAAAGAAGAAAACCATAGAGAACTATCAAGGAAACTGGTTAAAGTGTTTAGTGTAACAGAGGTAAAGTAAAATGTGAACTAAAATATATCCATCAGGGCCGGGCGTGGTGGCTCACACCTGTAATCCCAGCACTTTGAGAGGCCGAGGTGGGTGGATCACTTGAGGCCAGGAGTTCGAGACCAGCCTGACCAACATGATGAAACCCTGTCTCTACTAAAAATACAAAACTTAGATGGGTGTGGTTGCACATGCCTGTAATGCCAGCTACTTGGGAGGCTGAAGCATGAGAATTGCTTGAACCCAGGACGCAGAGGTTGCAGTGAGCTGAGATCGTGCCACTGCACTCCAGCCTGGGCACCAGAGCAAGACCCTGTCTCAAAAAAAATAAAATAGGCCCAGCACTTTGGGAGGCCATGGTGGGCAGATCACTTGAGGTTAGGAGCTGGAGACCAGCCTGGCCAATACGTTGAAACCCCGTCTCTACTAAAAATACAAAAATCAGCCAGGTATGGCAGTGCGTGCCTGTAGTCCCGGCTACTGGGGAGGCTGAGGCACAAGAATCGCTTGAACCTAGGAGGCGAAGGTTGCAGTGAGCTGAGATCGGGCCACTGCATTCCAGTCTGGGTGACAGAGTGAGACTCTGTCTCCAAAAAGCTAAAATAAAATAAATAAAATGTATCTATCAGATATTGCAACAAGGGCCAGGCACAGTGGCTCACACCTGTAATCCCAGCACTTTGGGAGGCCTAGGCAGGTGAATCACTTGAGACCAGGAGTTGGAGACCAGTTTGGCCAATGTGGCAAGACCCCATCTTTACAAAAAATATAAAAATTAGCTGGGCATGGTGGTACACACCTGTGATCCCAGGTACTCTGGAGGCTGAAACACAAGAATCATTTCAACCCAGGAGGGAGGTTGCAGTGAGCGGAGATTGCACCACTGCACTCCTGGCAACAGAACAAGACTTTGGTTTTCTTGTAAATAAAATAAATAAATAAATAAATAAATAGGCCGGGTGTGGTAGCTCACACCTGTAATTCCAGCACTTTGGGGGCCGAGGTGGGCTGATCACCTGAGGTCGGGAGTTCGCGACCAGCCTGGACAACATGGTGGAACTCCCACCTCTACTAAAAATACACAAATTAGCCAGACATGGTGTCGGGCACTTGTAATCCCAGCTACTTGGGAGGCTGAGGTGGGAGAATCGCTTGAACCCAGGAGGCAGAGGTACAGTGAGCCGAAATTGCACCATTGCACTCCAGCGAGACTCTGACCCCCCAAAAAAGATATTGCAACAAGGAGGTCATTTAGGAAATTTGGAGAAAGCTGTTTTGTAGTTATGGTGGATAGAAACCAGATTGAATTGAGAAGGCACAACATATAAAGACTGTTTTTTCATGGTGTTGATGTAAAAAGGAGACTAATGGTAGGGTATTGCAGGAGGGAGAATTCCAAAGAAAGGGAAGAAGTTTTAGGTATCTGTGAGATAGCTAGATAGATATGTCCTAGTGGCATGTTTAATATACAGATCTAAAACTTAAGAGGAAAATATAAGTGGAGGAAAAAAGCAAGCACAGAATACATATGACACATTTACACATGCATTAAAAAATTATGAAGAGTGGGCCTAGGAGGGATGAGACATACTTTTCATTGTACATCTCTCTTTATTGCTTGAAATTATTTTTCTATGCACATCTTATAGAAAGCTACTTTTTTTTTTTTTTTTTTGAGACAAAGTCTCACTCTGTCACCCAGAGTGACAGTGGCACGATCTCGGCTCACTGCAACTTCTGACTCCCAGGTTCAAGCAATTCTGCTGCCTCAGCCTCTCGAGTAGCTGAGACTACAGGCGCATGCCACCATGCCTGGCTAATTTTTTGTATTTTTAGTAGAGACGGGGTTTCATTATGTTGGTCCGGCTGGTCTCAAACTCCTGACCTCATGATCCACCCGCCTCGGCCTCCTAAAGTGCTGGGATTACAGGCGTGAGCCATGGTGCCTGGCCAGAAGGCTACTTTTTAGAAAGTCCTATGATCTATAGGCCAGAAATTCTAAACATCAACCTTTCAGTGATTATTGAAGCCATAGATTTGGATAAGCGCGCCGGAAAAGAGCTGAGGGCTAAGAAGAGTGCTCTGGGAAATTCCAACATTTAAGACACAAGTAGAAAAGGAGCCCTTGGAGAATCTTTGAAAAGGAACAGTGAGTGAAGAAGAAGAAAACCTGGGAGATAATTATCACAGAATCAAAGGGAAGAGTGTTTCAGGGGGGTGGATGTTGAAAGTGTCAGATGTCCCTAGAGAGGCAGCTAATAGGAAAGGTGCTTTTACCTCTGAACCTAGGTTTCTTGGAAGCTTAGCACAAGAGTCAAATCCATATCTTGAACCTTTCCCCAAGTATCACTGGGCAGTACAACCCCCACGCTATTCTGCCCTTATGCATCACGGCTGCCAGTCCCAGTCTTTCAGTGAGTCTTCAAGTCAACATCAGCCAGTGCTGGCACCATCAATCTTACTACACTCAAGAATGCTACCCTGGCTGGGTGTGGTGGCTTACACCTGTAATCCCAGTGCTTTGGCCAGGAGTTCAAGATCAGCCTGGGCAACATAGTGAGAGACCCCATCTCTACAGATTTTTTTTTTTTTAATTAGCTGGGTGTGCACTTCCCTGTAGTCCCAGCTATTTGGGAGGCTGAGGTGGAAGGATCACCTGAGACTGAGGAGTTTGAGGTTGCAGTGAGCCCTGATGGCACCATTGCACTCCAATCTGAGTGACATAGTGAGACTCTGTTTCAAAAAAAAAAAAAAATGAAGAATGCTACCTTCTTCCAGTCCTTACTATGGCCCTGAAGCTGCCATCAACAAAAACCTGTTTTCCTAGAAAAGGTGAAATCAAGGAATTGAAAGTGGGAGTATTAGTTTGAGTTGGAGGTCAGGAACTAACTGTAGTTTTCATGGGTTTTTCTAAAACCTCCCAGGGTGTTAGTAAGAGTTGGCACAAAGAGAGGTTATTTAATAGGTGCTGAAGGCTGGGTTTGGAGGATCACTTGAGCCTAGGAGTCTGAGTCTGCAGTGAGCTGTGATTATGCCACTGCACTCCAAAAAGAAAAAAAAAAAAAAAAGGTGCTAAGGGGCAGTAAAGCCAGATGGCAGAAGCTTCAAAGGGAGAAGAATTTTTGCAAGAGGATGGAAGCACAGTGGTCTGAAAGTAGCAGTGGGTAGCAAAGAGAAAGCTGATACCTTGCCACCCCTTCCTACAGGAGCAAGAATAAACAGCCTCTAGAACATTGAAGGGAAAAGGTGTTCATTAATTGGGAAAAGTCAAAAATTTCTACCTCACCTCTGACCATTTTTTCCTCTATACCCACTAGAATGCTTTTCTTTTGTAAACAGCCTCCCTTATATATTCATTGTCTTCGCAGATTGCTCCTTAGCTTTTCCTAAACTTTTTCTAGAGGAATAGCCATCAGGACAGAGGTAGCTCTGATGTGTGGAATGCAGATGTAATCCATATAAGCCCGCAAAAAAGGCAGACACAGGCACTACTTCTTAAAGTAGAATAATAGTCTCTCTCCATATGCATATTCTGAAATGGTTTGACACCTAGTAGTCTTGGCACTATGATGGTAATTCTTTTCCATGAACCCACCTTTCCTCTCCAAACCTAACCCAGTTCCATTCAGAGGATTATGGAAAGCTGAGGATTGCCTTTTCTAGTCATAGTATGATGTCCAGTCTGCTTATTGCAGCCAATGGGGAAAAGAACAGATCGCTTTCTTCATTGAGAATGGAAAGCTTAGCCGGGCATGGTGGCTCACACTTATAATTCCAGCACTTTGGGAGGCCGAGGCAGGAGGATCACTTGAGGTCAGGAGTTCAACACTGGCCTGGCCAACATGGTGAAACCCCGTCTCTAC